CTCTAGAATGGTTTTAAGAAATAAGTTAAAACCGGATGATTCAATTAATCCGATAGATATTTTGTGTTTTTAGTGTTTCATGGACTGTCATACGCTAGATTCGAGGGGAGGTGTTGGAATTGTAATTTAATCGAATCTCCCGTGATTAGTCGGCGACGATGACAATCGAGAGAACATAAATAGTTACGTCACATTCTTGTTGTAAATAACAACTTCCTTCCAAATTCTGTATTTTGTGTGATCAATAAACCAAATAATTCTAACAGAATATCCAAAATTCCGAAAAAAGTTTTCAAGTCTCATTCAACAAGTTAATAAATTAAAAATTATTATTTTTGTTCTTATGTTTATTATCGTAATTGTAATTATTGTTTTCTTAATTTATTACTTCAACACTAATAAAAAATAGCTATTTATTCAACAATGTCCATGAACGTACCTATGATGATACTAATACGTGTCCATAAGCTAATGTATCTGTAGAATTAGGTAAAAGGTAACTTTTATCATCTTTCCAACTTAGAGACTTTTTCTTTACTTCTTCAGTAAAGACAGGATGCGCCAGAACTCGCGCCCCAGAGAAAAATGTCAAATGCCGGCTGCAATGGGTCGCCAAAAAGTGCAGCCGAAGAAGTAACTTTTGCTTGCATAAGAAAGTTGAGAAACTCTTAATTCCACCAATCCCAGAAGGGCACCTCAGGGTGTGATTGGAAAATTATATCCGTTGCTAGGTTACACAAATAATACCAATTTGCCCAAAATTTTAAAAAATAGCTGGATTATTGTAATTGTCTGTCACACTATTTTCGAATATTTTTCTCGCTGAAGATGCTGTGCACAAGTATAATGAGACGAAATCGTTGAAAATTTTTGAAAACTCGATTTCCATTGCGATGAACCAACAACTATTTTAATACTTTTAGATGTTTTCTTCAGAAGCATTGTTCCTACTTAACTTTTTCTTCGATATGACACAGACAACAAGCCGAAAACTAATGCTAGAAGCGAGTTAGATTAACCAAAAAGACAATAACGTACGCCAGTTTATTTACTTTATTGCAAAACTAACAGAAAAATGTACTTTTTATAAGAATTTGAGTTTGAACAAAACATGTTAGGATAATTTTTACTGTCATAATTGTAGATTTGCCAAGGTATTTTTGTTCGGTAGTGTAACCTAAAAACACACATTGCACTAAGTCCCCTTGCTTCCTTTTTCATTAAACAATCCACAAGAGCAT